TCATCGGATTCTTGGCGCTCTCACACTTGCAAAAACTTGGAGTTGTCGTGCGTTGGATGCAGCCAAAACTGCCATGAGAGAAAGCGATTTCCACCGATTTTTTGGCTCCTTTGATTTGCAGAGACTCAATGTTGAATTTAATATTTAAAGGAAAGATGATGCGATTGCTATACATGTTTCATGCTATCGATAATCTCCCGCTGTGCGGAATGTTCCTTACTTTCTGTTAAGTCCACGGTGAAGTTTCAATATCGCGAATTTTAATGTACAGTAGACTCCCGTTACAATGGCGTGTACGGGGCTGTAGGGGAAGCGCATCTTGAAAATCCGACTATATTCAGCTACCCCCACCACACGCTCGCTGTGACCATTAACTGATTTTTTAACAGCAAATTCGACTTTATTTTTCACGGAATTCCTCACCGGAGGAAACAGTGGATTATTTACATTTTGAAACTCGCAGCTAGTAAAGTACGGAAACCGAAAGAAACGCGAGAAAATGAATCGAGAAGAATTGTGACTATATTAATTTATTATACTATATTATTATTACTGTGTCTATTTTAAGAAGCCTACTCTATTTTTTCTATTTTATCCTTAGAAAATCATTAAAATTTTATTGACAAACAGATTTTTATAATTTCGGATGGTTTGCAAATTGAAATAATAGATGAGATGATCGGCTTTAGTGAATGCAATAGGGCCGAATGGTTTTAATAAAGCAGCGATACTAAACAGCGCTTTTTCTCCATAAAAATGGTGGAATAGCATTCAACTTCTTTAACGAATGAGAGGTACATTAAGGTAACTCTCTGGAGAAGCATAAAACGAGGTTATACATACAAAGTTGGGGGTAGTCGAATGAGATCCTTGCACGCTGGATCTGGGTTGGTGAAAAGCTCCGACACAAGTCCCCTAACCGTGTACTACACGTCTAGTTTCTGTTTGGCTTGTTCCAAGCTCAGCTTCGTATTAATGATGAAGTGCTCTAATCTCTCCTCCGTTATATCTGCAGGGCACGACAAAAAGACAAGCATCAGGCTCTCACGAATATGACAATATTCCCCTTACACATTATTACCACTCGCTTCGGGTACGCAATCACATTTTCATTTCCCACAAACCGACGATAAATAGGAGCAGTCGCTCCATGAAAATTTCTATTTTCCTATTTTTTCCGAAAATATTGTTAATAAGTGAATGAAATAAACGGAATTTAAGTCAAATTGATGAAAACACGAGAGTCTAGTGAATCTTATTGAAATGTTAAATTTCAATTGTATGCTGGGGGTTTTAGTACATGGAGAGAGCGGTGATGCGATGTAATGACTTTTCATTCTCATTAGTATTCCGCGTGCATTTCAATACAAATGACTTTAAAGTCGATCACGCACCTGCGATATTGATAGAATTGGTGAAATTAATTATTTCATACCTGGATTAAATTTTATTTCCCTACCGAATATCCAAAAGTCATGAATAATTTAGTTATATACTGATCAATGTTGAATGGTAAAGCAAGCTGTAATGACTGATTGAATAATAATTCTCCATCATCCGCTTCCGGAATCATCGCAGATAGAAAACAAGTAGATCATTGCATCTTTATGAATGGATGTTGTTGTGATAAATATCTGCTATAAATGATTAATACGGTATTAATTAATGGAATGGTCATTTTTTCATTTATTCATCATTGACAATTCGATTTGACTCTAGGTTTTAACTCGTTTCACTTACAATTTACTATTTTAAGTCTTTAAAACATTAATTGTGATTAATTTATGATTTTATCATCTTTTTTTCTGCTAATTAATCTGAACAAATCCCGATTTTTTAATTCCTTTTAAATAACAAATACTTTCTCATTGCCTATTTATTCCTATGTATTTACATGAGTCCTGAAAAAATATTATCAAGAAAAAAGGTGTATCTCCAAATCAATAAATAAACTTCATTTTCTATTAGTTTAAAATGACAAAATCTGAAAGATTCGAGAGCTTTCAATTTTTATTCCATCATCAGGAAAAATTCATTACGAAATCAATCGTGGGATTGCTCTGAACTCGTCGGGCCTTTGAATCGAGAGTATATGCGGAAATCTCTGGAGATTTGTTGGAGGCATCGAAGAAGAAAACGACCTTTATTAGGCCCCATGATAGTACGTCCCCATGGGCCGATGAATACTGCTCGGAGACTGCAGAATTACGGATGGTATGGCTCTCCCACACCGAATTCCCTCGTTCATTCCTATGAATAATCACCCTGTCAAGGCCACAGTATCTTATAATATCCTGTGACATGTCTTGTATGGCTTCGCAAAGTGTTTTTATCACTTCCTCTTCCGCTTGGTTGAGTCCGCCTTATTTCCAAATGAAAAATCCCCAACACCACGTCAGCAATTCAAGCATTAACTTTATTTGTTAAACACGCATTTAATTAGTTCATAACGAATCGTTAATAACAATTAAACATAATTTATCTCAATTTAATTTGGACTTGAGTATTTTACATTTCTGTGTCGAATATTGAATGTGAATTTTTTTTAGGTGAAATGCCCGTTCGGTTTCATACGAAAAAAATTACATCCGCATCGTTCACGTTCGAAACAAATTTACGCACGTACTGGACTCTCCATTTCAATGAGTATTCCATTGAATGGTGTCTCATCTCGATACTGTCGTAACCCCATCATACATTCGGAACACGTGGAATCGCTGAAGTGCCGGCAGATTGCGCTCTTAAATTTATTTTTATTGCTCTTTAAGGCTCGGTTGTATAATCTGGCCACAGTTTTATCATTTTTTTAAAGTTCTTGTCATTCCCAACATTTCATCTTTTGCGCATTTACCATTTACCACACCAGTTGGCATATATCGCATTTAATGTGTGTTACTCAAAATATTCTATTTCTTTTCGCCTGCCTTGCAATGAATGGTTTTTTTTTAGTACCAATAAAAAAAATTCTTTGAAACTGTTTCATTTTTTAAATTTCAGTTGAAAAATCATCTAACGATTCAATAAATCAAGAAATTAAGTGATTCATCAATGCAGAATTTTCAAAATTCCATATTTTTTATTCAACAATTCAAGTTTAATTCCCCAACAGTATGAACTAAGGAATAAAAAGACAACCCAACTAACTCCGATTTAAGTTTATAAAATTCCTAAAAATTTGATTAATTATTTTCTGGGGATTGAGAAATTTTCACAGCGAATCTACAGACAATTCGTCTCCACGGAGTTGTCTAACTGTTTCCACCTTCAACCGAAATCAATGAAAATTTTTGTTGAATGGAGGGCGCCTGCAACAGAACGCCATTGCTATCTGCAAAAAGTATCCCCCGGAATTCGATAATAATTCAATAATAAGTTCAAGTGAACTCGGAATCATCTGAATTATATTCAAGTGGTGGTTCTTCCCCGTTTCCTATATTCCCCGTGCCTCTCCGTCTTGTTCTTCCTGACACTCTGTGACAGCGCCTCGCGAAACAAATTTTCTAGAGTTACTCGAGGATCCACTTATCGCAGGGTGGGGGGAGGGGGCTCTTTTCACTCTATTTTTCCTCTGCCCTATGCTTTTTTCCTCTTGCCCCTTTTTCTTTATTCTTTTCACCGACGAGCTTCCACTCTTCGTCACGATCCTCTCGAGACTGAGCGAACGTCATGCGGTCGCGCCTCACAAAACGTTGTTTCTTTGTCGCCTACTTCTTCATGTAAGTTCACTCCTGATGGTTTTTGTACGCCATTTAATTCAACCAGTGAGACGTGAGGGTTATAGTAATTGTGCACGTGACGGTTTAGCAGAGGCCAAAGGTTGTGAAGCTATGATTACATGAGTCTTCATTTGCTTCATTCACCCGTTTGACCATTTGCGGGTTCTTACCGCTTTATCGGGAGATTCTATAATTTTTCCCTCTTCCTTCCATCGTTGTCTACTTCGATGCATCGATCTACCTAGGCAAACGAATACCGATGATCGATTAAAAAATTGACAAGTCGTTGTTGATTTCAGGCCTGCAAAGACGTATCTCCACGCGTAACCTTTCTTACTAGTATATTTTGTCACTGGATTGCTAGGAACTTTTTTGGCTTTGCCCCGGACTGCGGACTCATAATGAAAAGAGTAGCGAACAATATTTCTTGTTATTCAGTCCGTAGGCGGGGTTGCTTTATGGACTGAGTGACACAAACGAATGAATTGTCCGAGATTAAATATTATTATCTATTAGCGCGTGGGTCTTAGTACATTTGGGCACGTGTTGCTTTGCTTGGAACCATTCTCATTAATACCTTGCTAATTATACATTCTATCCCCACCTTTTTAATTATTCATCCACGTGGTGATATCTTTCAAGGTTTTGTCGTAAATGGATTCATTGACATCAAATTGGATGACTCAATAGGAACGAATAATGAAGGGCTTAATTGGAAAATTGGTGAGCGGTACAAAGCCTAGACAAAAATTCTATGAAGAGACAGAATCAAGATTTATGTATCGACCACCCATACAGCAATCCGTCGTTGATACTGTAAATAACGCCACTGTGTTTGAATCATTCCAAATTCACCTGATGTATTAATTGTTTGCATTATGTGTATTAATATTTATAGAGTAATAATGTAATACAAAATAATGGAAAAATAGGAAATCCTAATGAAATCATAACGCCAATTTCAGAGGAAAAGAATTTAATTGGATTATATATTGACATTACTTGTCAAAAATGAATTTTTAAACAAACATCTGATTCTTTTTTAAATTTCAGGATTTTCAATAATTTTTTTGAGTGTTGCCAAATCTTCTCAGGGGACATCGTGCCGAAAAAATTTGTCGAATATGAATTTTCAAAAAAACATAGATTACCGGGAAACTAAATTTTGTTTCTAAGAAAATGTTCGAGCCTATTGGAATTCTTATCTAGAATATTTACCTGATAGAAACATGTGAATAAATACTTTTCAGCACGTATTCAAAGTCCCCAAGGTTTCCAGGCGGAAAATAGTATAAATTCTGAGATTCAAGCGACTTACGGCAGTAGCCAATCATCTGAGCATTAGTAGACATTCAAATCGATTAACCAACATGAAATATATAATTATTCTTTGCGCCGTTGTGCCACTGGTAAGTTCAATAATAATTTCTAGACTTTTCTCAATCTTTTCATAATACGATAATACTCTTTGGGATATCTAAATACTCATGATCCTGATGCACTGAGAAAAAATTCTCTTCCCAACTTGATTTAAAAATATATTTGGCGGAAGAAAATTTTTTAGCCAGTGCGAGGGATGCAGGTGTCGTATCATAATTTCTGTAATATCAGTAATTTCCATTGGCAGGCAATGGCCATTACGGGAGAAAATAATTCTGAGGACTCCAATTCGATAAAATTGTGGTCAGAAGAGACCCAGTCATGGATTAATGACTTTGTTGACACGTTCAGACGAACCATAACTTTTTTAGATACATCGATAAGAGCCAGCTTGGACAGAGTACATGATGTGTACTATACTTCCAAATATGAAGAGGTCAAGCAGAAGGTAATGCTTCTTTGTAATTTATCCGCAAATATTATTTGCTCGAATTTGCTGGAATTGAAATGTCTCCAAAGCAACGCGAAACTTTAGCATTATTTTCAGTTTTTCCAACTAATTATAGATTATAAAAAGCTGATTTCGTAAATGATGTTTTCAGTATTTAGCATTAGCAAAGGAATACGAGCACTCTACAGAGGATAAGTGTATCCAATATATTCGTGGAATTCTACGTGCCAATGAGAAATATCATAAACAGTTGTCCGATCATTTAAACAATACTTCACAAAGCTGGGTCAAGAGCGTTAACGACTTTCACTCGTTGAATACCACAGGGAATAAATTGGCGGAAATGATCGTTTCAGGTGATATATGTGGATCCGAGATCAAGATTAATGGAGTAAAAACAGTCGTCGATTGTACTGTAAGTACAGACAGGAATTTATTAAAATGTAATCAACCTTTGTTTGGCATTTGAATTTTCAATAGTCCGACTGTCAATTCAATTTCAGCGAGATGGACAATCAATCCCCGTTCATCTTGGAAATTCCATAAAATTCAGTAATATGAATTAACTTGAATTGTCAATAATAATTTCGATCTTCAAATTCATTTCATTCAAAAATCATTGCGATAATTAACCATTAAAATTATTTCATTTTTCAATATTCAAGATTCAAAATTTAAGAGAAATGAAACTAAAAATTATTAAAGTTCATTAAATATTGGAAAAAATTACGATAATTGAAACATTATTGTTTTATGAGCAACAAGACATTCTCATTTTCAGAACAAACAAGAAATGGCCGTTTACGAGAGCACTGTTGCTAAGGAAATCCTGAAGAATGTTAAAGGTTTTATGGCCTACGTCACGTATTGGGAGACTTTATTCCATAACTTTTATACAAACAATTCTTTCCAAGCCTTCTATTTCGGGAAAACTGACGCAGAGTTGAGGGTAAGTCCTCCGTAAATGCAAATAATTCATCCATTCATTTAACCAACGAAAGTGACTCAACCCTATATTTTCCTAATAACAGAAATTTTGCCATAAGAAGTCATAAGAGAGCTGTTGATGGATTACAAGATGAAAAATTGGAGAAGATGATCGCTATTTTATTAGATAATTATAGGACCGACCGTTGCATGTGAAGCGAATCATTGAAATTCATGCAGATTTTTAAACTGTCGGATTGATTGTCATTATTAAAGTATAAGGAACGTCATCTGAAAATGTTTTATCTAGAGATGTACTATTAGTAGAAAATACACGCTTCTCCAAACTGAATGGATTCTTGGTAAAAATATATTTTTCTCTCCGTGTAGTACTTACCTGTCCTAGCATTTTCCCGTCCTAGGGGTTTGGTATTCCGTGCCACCACCGCCTAGTACATCCTCACTGTCTCCATTTCTCTCTTTTTTTTTCTCTTGCAACCCTGTGTACATCCCCTTCATACCTCTCTTCATCCTCCGGGCGAATTTATGTCCTCAACAGGATAGCTGGCGCGCAGCGCGTCTCCACGGTACACATGCAATTGCACAATTATGTTGAAACTATGTTAATACGAATTTCAGGAAAGAAATGACTCACTTTGCATCTATACTTTTTCCTATTTCTCGGTGGAAAAATTCATTGGTTGGAGAGACTAACTTTTCGGTTGGACTTTAAGTTTTAAATTTCGTGCAATTCCCACGGACTTTGGTGATTCTAGGGAGAAGAATGAAGGGATGAAAATTAAAGGAATGCAATAGTGCGTGGAAAACAGGTCAATAGTGGGTTCGACACTGGGGGCTTATACAACTTAGAAAGACAGGAAGGATAAATTTTATTAATACAGCGAAGAAATTAAGTCTAAAAAAACGAGGAATTTTTAACGAGGAATTAAAGTAATTATTGAATTTTTAATTATTAATCTATTAATCTATTATTAAATTATTAATCTATTAAAAATTCAACCTTTCATTGGAAAATTATTACAATTATCATCTACCATGGAGAACCAGATTTTCGGTGATTTTTCACGATAAAGATAAATTTAGTGAGAATTTTGAATTGAAACCGACTCAATGATGAAGATGAGTATGCCACGTACATTGCCAAAGTGAATTTTTCTCATCGAAAAAAACTATCCCCTTGAAGATCGTGTGCACCAATAACCCCCAACCCCCTGGCCGCCCCCACAGGTCCACATTTCCGCTGCCTTCAATTTTTTCCTCAGCGAATCATCTCTTTCTTTTATTCTAGTCCCAGGTCCCTCCGGCGAAACAAAGTGCTTCTACTTTCTTCCCTCCAGAAACCCACGGGGCATTTCGACTTTTCCCTCTGCATCCCACTTTCCTCATTCTTGAAAACATCATTCGAAGCAGTTTCCCTGGCAATGATTATTCGAAGATATTGCTGAACAGCTACTGCACCGGTAGAAAATTAGATTTTCACCATTACCTTATTACTTCTTGAAGACTACATTCAAGTTTTTGCACCACTGAAGATATAAACTATCTCTCTTCTTCAACTTTTAATATCCGCAGCCATTAAACGTCTTAATCAGATGCTCGAGTGGATGAACGAGTACTATCTCAGGTTGGAGAATTCTTGGAGGTATTCAAACGACGTTTACATATTCATGGGTATATAACAGCTCTCTCATCATGGACAAACCCTCCCTCCACCTTGACCCTGTGCCTTCATTTATCCGTAACGAGCGATAATTCAGACCGAATTTCATCCGACTAAAACGCCACTGTAATGGCCATCGCTTCCACTGATAAGGTAATACCAAATCCAATAACAAATCCTAGAAATGAAAAATAGAATAGGAGAGTCTGGGGTAATTCGGGCACCCACTGAAAATTACATTTTCCATTTCTTTTTCATCATCTTCATTTTTCTACATTCTGAGTATAAATAAATAAAAATAATATATAAAATATATAATGGATACAGCAATTAGTCGATTGATCAACTATTCCACTAATTCGAATGCATCACTTCGATACTGAATTTGATTGCTATTACGTGAATTTAATTAAAATGATGATCATATTATCACAGTCTATCGTGTAAATAAATTAATATTATTGGGGAATACTGGGGGATCTCTTGTCGGTTCTTGCAGAGATTCTTGATTATTCTCGAGATGATCATTTGAGGGAAGAGTCTCAATGATCTTGTGTCTTTCATTCCCAACGAGTCTCTTCGTGCTCATCTTTTGTGGAAAAAATGGGGCTAAGCCGAATGATGTCTCCAGTGAGTTTCGGGGACATACAATCGCTCTAGAAAAAAATGTCATTTATCAGGCTTCCTTAATACGTCAATCCACAGCAGTGCGAAGGAGAAAATTATAGAGATGATGAACATGGTAATTATGGTAGTTGATTGTAAAAAATAATGCTATTCAATAAAGGAGAGAAGTGAATTGAAAAAGTGAAAAAAAGGGAGAAAAGAAAAAAAAATTGAAATGAGGGGCACGCGGAGTTCTCCATTCCCATCGTTCTATGGAATATGAAACGAATGGTTTTTTATTAACTCATCGGCGGAAATTATGAAATTAAAATGGAAAATAAATTTCAGATAAAATAATTTGAGACAATGAACTAAAATATAAATTTCACTTTTTCGAAATATATAATAATAAAGAAATATAAACCACAATCAATATATTCGTACTGACAATTGAAACGAGTAAAGCCACTGAATAATAAAACCCGCCGATTCGAATATCCATTACCTCGGGCGGAAGGAAAACATACAAAAGTATTCCCGAATTTTTAAATAATTCCGGCTACACAGTAAACGGTTCCCCAATAAAAAAAAACGAATGAATTCGTTTACTGCATTAATTCGCTGTCGGCCGATGGGGTTTTTGATAATTCAGTGCACTCGATGGTTTCACGGCGCTTCACTTGGACGTCCATCATTGATTTTCATAAATTTCGAGTTCAGCAAAACTCATTCCATGTTACCAATAAAATTCACAACCAAAACCGCTGTGAAACAGGTATTAAAAGTATTGAAGGGACGTACCCCACCACCTAGACATCTGCACTTGACGCGCTATTTCCGAAAGATGATAAGAAAAATCGTGAGGATGGAAGTGGTTTTGATACTCGACGAGGAGGTTTCTGTGCCGATCAACTCTCTCAGAAACTTCCAAGGCAGCGAGGGTCTTCCCTTTCTATCCGAAATCGGTCAACATGAAAGAGAAGCACCAACCGCCGGGGGATATTTAGAAAGACGTATAACGGACATTTTGATGTATTGACCACTGAGAGTCGAGGGTTCCCAGCCACAAATCCGGAAATTCATCCGATTCTCTTGCCTACCCCATCCCAATAATTCTTTCTTTCTCTCACTCCATGTCTCATCGTGTCCCCTCATCGAAACGCATAACGAACAATGAAGCAATCCCTTTCCAGACGAGAGAATTCGGAGGATGTCGTCTCTGAGGTACCACGGAATTGTTTCAGGCGACGATTAGATGCATAGCCTCGATAATGCTAGCAGTTCAATCTGCATTCGTAATGACGGACGAGTGGAAGGTGACACAGGGTCTGACCCGGTGTGGCCCTTCCTGGTACATTGACCGTCTATTAACCCCTCGGGCCACTAAAACGTTCGCTGCCTAGATGTCACGCGAAACTACCGAATGCCGAGACCTTCGGTCATCCCATAACAAGGAAATTCCACCTATAGAGCTTCGGTCTCATCTTCAGTAACGAATAGAGCCACTCCATTCCTCAACCACAAAGGTATCGACTGTGGAGAAAAATATCCTGTGTGAAACAACTGGTGTAACGAAAAGTGTCGGCACATTTCGTTGTCATTTAAAGAACACGAAAATTGTCAATGAAAAATCTAAAAAATGGGTATATTAAAAAAATTGTTTAATTAAACCAATTCCACCTTTAGAAACGATTAATAACGATGTGACGACGATTTTCAGAATAAAAGAGGAATATGTCTATGAATGAAGTATAAATCACATTGATAAGAGAATGATTTTTCATAATTATTAATTTTTAATTGAAATTGTGAATTTATTAGGAAATAATGAGGACATTATATTAGAATGAAAGGGGCACTTACACCTGACGTCTTTTGATGTTGTTTTAGGGAGAAAAAGTGCCAGCGGAATGGAGTACTTTGTAGGTGGCCCTTCACCCTTGACTTGATACGTATCCACATGGCCTCACATCAATTACTCTAATTTCTCTCTGACTTCTCTCATTCAGCTAATTTCCCTGTGATCCAACTGGTGAAACAATTCCCCTCTAGATCACAAGACTTTGTGATTTTAGCCGGTTTTATTACGGCTCGCGTGTGGATGTAGTTGGAATTCTTGAAAACGAGAGAAAAACAAAATGGGAAAGTACTGGTGGGCAGTTCGGAGCAATGGGATGTGATTCAGTTCAAAGGGCAGACATCGATTGCATATACAGCTGAGTACCTATCCACATTTCTGTGTGCGCACATACAGGTACATAGAGAGACCACAGGTAACAAGGATATGGCTGAAGTTATATTGGTCGAACCTCTGACACGATAAAAGTGAGATTGCTTTGTTTTTACATTCACCTTTTCGGTCAAGTCTTTCTTTTTCGTTTTTACGTTTTCGTTTTTATATTTCGAAATACTGCGAACGGCATCTTCTAGGATGCATAGAACTGCTGGATCACATCTCTTGAGTTATGAGGAATAAACACGTTGGTGTCACCATCTCCATAAAAGAACATTAGCAAACAGCAAGATATAAAAACAGCCCCATGTGTCCCATTTTTTCTTTCCCGACAAAATTTCTCCTCGAAAATTTCTCGCGTGACATTGTTTATTGTTAAACCCATGGTAACAGAATAGCTTCCCCTTTTCATTTCTTTTCGATGTTGCAATTAATTTTATTGCCTAAAAAACATATATTCACTCCACGCAAAATAATCAACAAGCAAAAAAAAAATCAATGATTTCTTCTCAATGTTATTACCAGGGGCTGTGGGAGAAATTTATATTGTTTGTTAATATTTTTCTCTTTCACAATGATCTCCATTAGAAAAATGGAATATCCAACAATTTTTCTTTCTCCATAAACAAATTAATTCCATGAATGAACCCGGAATGAGCGGTGAAAAATCGGTGTTATCATTTCCAGAATTTTCCAGGTACAAAAGTCGGGGAAAACATGGTAAAGGAAAAAATGGCAGGAGGTTCGTGGAGTCATGAAAACGAATGAATAGAGCGTGAGGATGTATCCAAAGAACCAACAAAACCTAATCGAAGGTAATGATTTAGCTATTAGAAGAATGATCGATCCACGCAAACACTGGGATTGGAGTATAGCCGGGGAATTCCAAAGCGATCAAACGATAATCACCGCAATCACAGGAATGGAATTTAAGCAGTGTCATATACGGTGAGATAATCCACTCGGGTTTGCTCCATCTCGGGGCATCTAATTATTCTAATTAATGAACATCGACCACGCCATAAACATCAATTAATAATCCATCTAACTGGCAATTTGAGGTGTATTTCATTCCACGCTGAGTTGGTGCGGAAAATATCCGTCAGGCAGTGATCCAATGATTTTTCATAATTTGGATTTTCACGTGTATCAGCTTTATGGAGCCCTGAGTTATACTCATAGCCCTTCCCCCATTACAAAGTATAATGCTTATGTTTTATATATATATCCCTGTTGTTGCTGATGTCGCTAAGCCGAGGGAAAGGATCAGGTCGCCATTTCTCTTCTCCTCGTTTCGGTTTTGCATGACAAACTCTCCACCCGCGCACTGACCGATGCATCTTTTTTTTGTTATCTTTCTTTCCCTTTATGCATCTCTCTTCCTCCCGTGGTGGAGACCCTTTGTGCACTTCAAGTGCTCTTGTTTCTTCCTCTTCCGGTACTCGAGGTACAAGTACTCATTCCTCTTCTCCACCAACGCGAATTTACATGACGTAAATGAAGGACAATCTAGACTCCCTGCAGACGGATTTTTTAATTCCTCATCTGCAGATCGATCCATTATTATGCAATAGAAAATAATTTCTGGAAAATATGGAATTTGTTTTTGTCTTCTTTTCACTTTCGGAAGGATTGAGGCCCAATTTTTTTGGAATTTTTTTTATCAATCGTTGTAAAATTTTTGTACAAAAACATTTCTGAATTTATTTTGTTTTTAAATAGATAGTTTTTTAATTAATTCGTAACAATCTGGGATGTCCAGAGTTGAAATTATGAGGGATTTTCAGCAAACGGAGTGATTCGTTCATTTCAACAAGAGTTTAAGCTCACCGAGAGGTAATTTATTTTACATCAAAAAGTTATGCTATTTCGAATTCACCCTGGAATGATGTTCAATGTTAGTCTCAATGGAAACGGACTGGTAATTAGAGAAGAGAATAGAATTTTATTGCTCCATTGTATGGGCGTGTCTTTCACGAAAAGCATTCTCCTTTTTCCATCCTCCAGCCTCGTATGTGTGGTAAATTCATTAAGGTGGAATACAAAGGCGGTAACTGCGGTGTTTACCATCTCTCTGGTAGAAAATAAAGAGTGGAATATTGCAGCGGCTCATTTCGGGGCTAAAATTGAAATTTCGTTGACTAGAGATTTTCAGGGGTCTTAAAACACCATATGACGCCGAGTTCTTCCCTCACGTCAAAAATAAATATGCTAATAATTACTTAAAAAGTCACATGCATAATTAATACATGCTACATATATACTCCTCTCATTACTCCTCTCATTACTCCTCTCATTATTCTCAAAGAAATAGATTCGATACAATATTTTATTCAAGCCGATCCATTATGAATTTAAAAACCAATCACATTATCAGCGAATAAAAAATTCATGAGTGATATTTCATCAATTTTTTAATTGTATTAAATAATAATTATTTATTATTAATGGTTTCTTCTCTGAGTGGTGCTCAGATGAATTTTACAGCTGGTTCTTTTTCGGTTTGATTTCAGTAAGTTGAAGAAGGAAAAATCATTTAAAAAATTGTTTTTAGCTCTGTGGTGGATTGGATTGCTATTGAAGATGAGCACACCAATTCCGTGGGAAATCCTCAATTGATGGGGGTGAAGTGTGTTTATGATGGATTTAGGGTTTATGGTGGGGGGATAGGGTTGTTAATTTTGAGGAAATTCTCTTCGGAGTGTAAAAGTTATCATATACTGTGTCAAACAAAATGGAATATTGATCTTGTCGCTCAAGGCAGTTGGAAGTACGCCATTCCGAACCGAGTAATTTTTACAATTATAATAGTGATTATTATTGTAATAAATTTTCAATCAAATTTTCAAGTTTTCATGCGCACCCATCGAATCCTATTGCAATTTCAAACATTTTCCCGAGTCGAGCATGTGGAAATTTGATTATTCAATTTATTTTGGTGCACAGTATTTGATAATTGTGAATATTTAACGCGAATTAGTAATGGTGAATTCAATATTTTATATCCAGAGAAAAATGACGAAGAATTCCTCAGTGAAATCCTGAGAATTCGATTGGCAGTTGAGGGGAATCGCCTGTTCGATGTAAACATCTTGTTTTTTTTTTCGATAATTCTCGTCTTTTCGAGCAGTTTTATTTCATGGATACCGGAAATAGTGTAGAGAATAGAGAAAGGGAGGAGAAATGGGTGGAGAATAAATTTAAAATTCTGTTGGTTGGTAAAATCGATATTTCTGTGCCAGACACAGTGCTCTCGTGCTGATTCTAAGGATCAAAGCTTTGTGAGGGTTGTATAGGTCTTATTTCCCTGGCTACGTCATATTCAATTAGTGTGATACACCAAAGACTTGTCTAATCTCTTCGTATAATTGCATGGTTTGATATCTTCTCTAGGTTAGCTTCGGAATTTGAGAGATTAATTGAAATTATTATTCCGTTCTTCCTTATCTTCACTATTTTGTACGACGAGGAGACGAAATAAATGGAATTCACGAATAATTCATTAAGTGGAAGGGGTTTTATTTTAGAGTCTGTAATCTGTGTGAAAATATTCAGTAAGAAATCCAGAAGAATTGAAAAGCCAACAAAAATTGTCATAAAATCAATCACGTTTTCACCAACAACCGTTTCTTCAATGTAATTTTAGTTTCCACGCCAATGGAAAAATCCGGAAAATTTCGGCAGAAAATACGATTTTGTAAACACTGCTACTCTGTTTATTTAGGTTTACACAAATACACACTGGACACTTATTCAAATAAATATATTTTACATCGTCAAATATAACCGAAGACATGTGTGGAACAGTGTTTTTCGGGTGGTGTTATGAATTGCAAAAGAATGATTTTGTGTACTTGCTCAGTAATATTTTCGTACGCGATGTGCTGTAGAAATCATGGTAATCGAATCGTTTGGATTAATAACAATTATCGGTATAACCCATCAGTGTATTGGCATCGATTTTCGCGCAACCCTTGGTCGCCCGACGCACTGACTCGGCTCGACTCGAGTGCCTTCGGCTTTCCTCGCCTGTGCAATCAAACGGGGGTGGGGCTTGCAAGCTTTCGCAATGGAAGACCGGTTTATTCGACGCTCGGCGCTCGACGTGCGCGCCTTCTCCGAGCCAATTCCTTTATCCGGCAATCCTCCGGCCCATTTCACAACCGGTTCCGAGTGTCAATTGAAAAGGTAATCAGGCCCCATTATAATTATTCATTATCACGCCTAATCAACGCTAATCAGAAGAACAACAGTCGAGTTTTTTCTTCCGCGGGAAGAAATATCAAATTTACCGCTTGCCAGTGAAATCCTCGGTAATGAGTTTCTTACTTCGCTCTCTCATTATCGGGAGAACGATTATGAATTGAATTCCAGTGAAAGTTTTGTTGTTACGTGAAACTAATTTGATACACGAGAAGTTGGGGAAACCGAGACTATTTCACGAGGGGTTGGATTTTCGGTGGTGCAATAGAATTTCATATGGTGGAGGGTAGTTTACTCGTGAGTTGATATCATATCTTGGAGATTGAAAGTACAGAACTGGAAATTTCATCAAAGTTCAGCAACAATGAGATTGCAAACTCATGCATAAAGTGAATGCAATCGGGGAAATTGTTGTTAGAATGAAATATCGGGGGTTCTGTGTGAGGATTGAGTAATTTTATCGGATCCAGGGATATTTCTATTGTGAATTTACACTGGGTAATTGAGCCGGGGGTTAATTATCCAGTGCGAGGGGCTTTATGTACCGCAATAAGGTGTGTGTTGGTTTATGTCTGTGTGAGTGGGAGAATCAGTGGTTTTAGGGCCGGTGGGGGGTAGCTTTGGTCAACGAAAAGCCAATGCCTCGGGAGGGGGTCAATTCTCCTGAGGACCCTGTCCGGCTTCCTTGTCTCGATTCTCTTCACCTCTTTTTCTTTCTTTACCCTTTTTCTTTTCTTTTCATTAGCCAACTTTCGTGACTTCAATTAATTAACGTCAAGAGCCACAGTGTCAAGTGTTGAGTGAGTCAGTGGAAGATACTTTTTCGAACTAATTAAACTGAGTTCGTGGGCTTTTAAATGGAATATTTTTGGGATTAAAAAATTTCAATGAGTCTGTGTGCAGGTGTTTGGATCAGTGTGGACAACCGGAAATTGTGTATTTGAAAAAAAAATTTCTTGTGAATGAATGGAGTTCGCACGTCCTAGTGCACGGGCTAGTGGTGAGTGAAAATTTTACTGTTTTATTTCAATTCTGCATTTTACCGGGGAAAAATCTGGCAATGAATTTTTTTCGTCATGACTTTTTCATTGAAATTCTAGCGTTAGAAACAACGCGGTAGAATGCGTGGGCTTTCTCCTTTGTTTTTGGTGGTGGGAATCGTATTGATTCGGCGATTTTTTTTTCTCTGTTTGGGTGATTGTGGCGGGATAAAATAACGCATGAATAACGTCAAATATTTCCATCTCCATTTTTATCCCTCAATCCTCGAGAGATTTCCGGTGTTTCATAGATTGTGATTACCTGTCATACATTGTTTCAAAAAATCCGCATGCATAAACTCACGAGAAGGATTTATTCCACTGGATTGTGAGATTATTTTCCATTCGTGAAAATTGGGAAATCACTGGGAAACCCGGGAATTTGTCAATTTTACTGGTCAGGTAGAATCAGAAAGTTTCATCTCGGGGAAATAGAGTCTTCTACGAGAAAAATTATTCTGGTAAAATATTCTTTTACATTCGAGAAATATTCACTTATAAGTAAATAAATTGAATTCAATGGTGAGACGATTCAAGAATTTATTCCACTCTCTACGGAAAGTTGAGTATTTAATTCAGATTTCGGTAGGACAATTAATTTTCTCTTGGATTTTTTAAAAAATTACCAGCTGCAGGACAATTTAAACCCTGAAAAAGCCGCGGAAACTGAGAAAAAATGACCTGTGAATAGTTGATCGTTTCCACGAAACAACCAAAAGAGCAGTTCCACCCAGTCTCTTCGCATAAATCACCAAAACAATGCGCTGACGGATCTCACCCCGTGCAAAATAAATCTAGTGGTTCCACAAAAACAAACAAAAAGCTAAATATTAATCCTCTCCTCCCTCACCGTGCCGAAATAACTCTAGGCAAAATTACGTTGTTATAAATTTCTTTCGTTTTCCGTAATACCTGTTTAAAAAAATCAGTATTACACATTTTCTTTACAATTCTTATTTTGCCTTTACTACTGAAATCCAAAACTTATTATATTTTATCTCAATGGAATGACTATTTTTCAAAATGCGACACGTTAAATTCGACACATCATTGTCAATAACTCATAATAAAATCAACAGGATTAAAACATTCGAATGGCATTGTAAAGGGCTTGTTCAGGTCTTCATCGAATCCTCCGATAATTGGCAATAAACATGAATTTTCGGGCGTGACATAACGGTGAGGAATGAAAAAACTTCAATAACTCGATAACAACGCAACTACATCAAATCCAACTGACGCCATTTCAAAGACCATAAAACGTTCTTCAAAATGGTATATAAATATTCTCATTTGTTTAAAAAATTGAACCAAAGTCGTAACCCGGGTAAAACATGAAAATCGCATTTTCTCTTTCAAAAGGGAATAACTCCATGAAAAATGGTGGGCATTACAGATCTCGGGTATTTTTCGGAAGATTATTTACTGAGCTCTCAAATAAGTACACCGGATATTATCTCAATACGAAAGAAAGAGGGGAATAATACCGAAAACCGAGGTGTACGCGAGCGTTACGATCACGGATCATTTACTTATGAATTTTAGTCAGCGAATAGAAAGTGATAAAAAATGAGTACATAGATCCAGTAGATAGAAAATCGAATGGGCGTCATATGGGTGTTGGCAATGAGGCGGGGGTGATTGAGGAAAGGAGGAAGTTGCCTTCGTTTGTAGGTACGAAGGGATTGGGGGAATTCAGGATGGAATTCACGATTGGTAGAACGGGCGTGCCAAGAACATTTGGTAAGAGTTACAGACGACGCTAATATCGGTAATGCCAGAGCTGAAACCTGGACTTGTGCACGTAGACCCTAACCTACCTCAGCATGTATTTCAGTTTCACTGGAACCTGTCCAACGTGAATATACCCCAGAGGGATAAAAAAAAAAGCCTCTCTCCCAGGTAGGAATTCCAAGCTCCAACAACTGGTCCAAGCTTGGCTCAACCTAGACTTGCCTAGGCTTTGGCAACCAAGCTTGGGCCATATTTCACCCAATGGTTAAGCCAGGCTTCAGCCAATGTTGAAACATGAGCTTTGGTTACCAGGCACGGGTCAGAAATGGGCCAAGACTGG